CATCAAGGTGCGCCTGCAGGACGGCAGCGTCGGCCGAGTCGTGGCCATCCACCCACCTCCTCTCTCTGCCTCCTTTCTTCCACCTCAATAGAGCGCCACCAACAATCGCGTGTAGTGGACGGAGTTAGTACCTTTGTTTGGGTGGGGGGGGGTAACGAACAGATAGATAGAAACGGCAAGGAGAGATGCAATCGAGCGCACGTAGGGGCGCTGCCGGTTCCGCTCGTCGCTTTGGCGCGGCGGCAGCAACACGAGCGACCAGTGGTGGGGCTCGTCCACTTGCCAGCGCATCGGCGACTTCATCTTCATCCAGCCGGAGCCGTTTCGCAACAACCTCCACTTCCTCTCCTTCCTCCACTTCCTCCTCTATCCCCAGCCATCCTCAATCAACCTCATCCAGGTTCCCCCAAATCCCTCTGCCTTTTTGGTCCAAAAATCCGATTGTCTTGCTGATTGCGCTCGTGCGCAGTCGGAGTGGACGAAGTGGGCGCAAGACCCACACGGTATCGCCCATGCCCGCACTGAGCTTGGCCACCCCCTATGCCCCTCTCAGGCCCTCTGCTCTCCTCCGCCTTTTGCTTGCCGGTACGGAGCATCCACGCTTCATCCCGTCTTGTGCTGTGCTGACAACATGTACGATGCACAACAGGGGACGACGATGACGGCAGCTAACGGCGGCTCACGTTGGCGGCCTTGGTGTGGTCATGAAGCCGTAAATAAATAAAAATAAAAAATAAAAGGTGAAAAGCGAAAAAGAAAGAGAATCAGAGAACAGAAGATGGAAGGAGGCCAGCCGCAGGTGCCGCCCACGCTCAAGCAGCTGGCGCCGATCTTGAAGCATTCAGCCCAGCTACGAGGGCAGGTGCCGGTGATGAGCTACCTCTGCTCGCTCTACGCCGTCCAGCTGGGCCTCAAGATCAAGGGTAACGACCCCGCCAGCAAGACTTTTCTCTTTGGCCTCATGGATCGCCTCGAGCAACACCGCGCCGAGCTCGGATCTGCCCTCTCCCAAATCCCTGACCAAAAGGTTACGTACCGCCTCACCCACGCAGAAATCATACATCATCAAAGAATACTCATGCGAAATAGAACGTAGAGAGCCTGAAGTAGTCTGTTTTTGTGGATGAGCGCAGGCGTTTGCGACCAACTTTGCGGTCAAGGTGTTCGGGCACGCCGACGACGAATACCGAGATGGCCTCGCCACAAGGGACACCGCCAAGTGCGTGCCCCTTTTTGTTGGCTTCGAGGGCGTGTGTGTTGTTCGCTCGAGCTTGGTAGCGGCAGCTGACTCTGGCTTCTCATGCCTCGGCCACTGCTGCGCAGGAACTTCTACGCGTCGACGGTGTTCTTCGATGTCCTGCGACAGTTTGATGACCCGCTGCCCGAGGAAATCGAGAATATGCGCAAGTACGCCAAGTACAGTGCCGTGCAGATCACCAAGGCCATCAAACAAGGTCCTCTTCCCTCTTGTTGTCCCTTTCTCTACGTGGTGTGACCATGGTCGGCTGACAGCAGAGTCATCGTCGTGTTTGCGTGTGCGGTCAGGCATCCCTGTGGTGCACCCCGACAGCGAGCTGCAGGACACACAGAGCGACGGCTTCGCCATCGGCGGTGATTTCGATCCGTTCTCGGCCGCTGCCGGCTTCCCCACGATCCCATCGGCGGGCTCGCCCTCGTCGATGATGGGCCAGAATGTACAGTCACCGCCGCCGCACTATGGTGGCGGCGGCGGTTCGCCCGCGCCCACACAGCACCACCAGGCCGGGCAACCCTACGGCAGCCCGTCCGTCACGCAGCCGACGCCCTTCGACGCCTACTCTGGCGGAGGCTTTGACATCCCCTCGGTGTCGCATTCGTTTGACCACCCCGCCTCGAGGCGAGACTTAGCATCGCCGCCATCTTCCGCGGCATCGTCGGCAGCGCCGCATTTCCCCGCCATGTCGCCCCCACCCGCACACGCCTTCCCTCCCGCATTCGACGCCGGCGGCAGCAATCCCTATGCGCCGGCTCCGACGTCGGGGTCACCGCAGCCGCCACACGACGCTGCGCCGGCGGCCGATGACTCGATCGAGCAGCTGCTGTCCCTCTTCCCCATGGTACCTTCTTCATCCTCCGCCGCCGCTGCTCCAGCGCCAGCGCCGACGCACGGATTCGGAGGACCAACCGGTCCCACGAGCGGCGGTGGAAGCGGCAGCGGCAGCGGTGGCGGTTCGCCCAGCATGGCGTGGTCGCCGTCCGCCTCTCCCTTCCCACCACACGGCCACTCGGCCACGCCACCTTCTGTACCGCAGGCGGCGGCGCCTCATTCGCAAGCGTGGCCTGGCCCCGGCCCAGCGGCGCGAGCCCCGGCACCAGCCCCAGCACCGGCAGCGCCTGCCCCGGCCCCGGCCCCTATCCCAGCACCGGCGCCCATCTCTGCCCCAGCGCCCAGCACCGGCTCAGCACCAGCCGGATTCACGCCTTCAGGCGAGGCCTTGGAGAAAGCGCAAAAGGTTTGCTGTCCCTGCGTGCGATGTGCCGTGTGTGCTATGTGTCGTGTCGTATGTGACACTCACACTCACCCCTCAAACGTCCCCAACAGTACGCCCGGTTTGCCGTAAGTGCGCTGCAGTTCGAGGACACGCCCTACGCCGTGCAGAATCTCCAGCTGGCGCTGTCGCTGCTCACCGGCAAGCAGTACAACTGAGGCGATGAGAGGAGGATGACAAAGGCGAAGGAAGACGATGGCGTCGTCTGCTCGAAGTAGCGCTGCTGTGTGCTGAGCGAGTGAAGGGACTCCTGTTCTGTTCAAAGATGAATGCGTTGTGTACAGAGAAAGAGAAGTGGGACAATGCTGCAATGTTGCGCGAGGCCCCGAAGAAGAGAAGGAGGGGGGGGTTTCACGAAGGAGGACGCAGGGCTTCCAGGCGGTCCATGAGGCTCTGGATACTGGCAACAACTTCCTTTCGTTTCCGGCGGAGATCGTCATCGTCTGCACTGTAGCCGTCCGTCTCTACCAGCTTTCGCATCAACCCCTCGTAGGCCAGGAGACGCTCCTTTTCCCTCCGCTCTGCCTCTGTGATCTTGTTGTTCCCACTCGTTCCGTTTCCATTTCCATCTTCGCCATCCTTTTCTTTCGCCTCCGCCGGTGCACCTTCATCTCCGTCGATCGGAATCTTGGCCTGCTGTTCGATGAGCTGCACCTTGCGCTCCTCCTCAGGCAGCACCTCCTCCTCGAGTCGTCGCAGGTTGCGCAGGTAGAACTGCACCTGTGGAGGCTTGATGGGACCTGCCGCAGAAGCTGTGCTGCCTGTTGGGGTGCTGGGTTTGCCGCCCATCTTTGCCTTCTCAGATCTTAGTGGTCTTTGTTGTGGTGGTCAGAGACAGAGCACAAGGGAACGCTGGTCGAGGGTGGGGTGGACGGACGAAGGAGGGCACAAAAAGAGAAGGTTGGCGCCAATGGGAATCGAACCCATGATCTCTCCCTTACTAGGGGAGCGCGGTGCCGACTGCGCCATGGCGCCTTCCGTGTTCAAGAGTGTTCTGGGGAGACGCCTGTTGGCCTTGGGCTGGTGCTGTGAAATGAGGCTGAGAGGCTGGTGGCAATGGTGAGAGGAAAGAAGATATCTATTTTCATGTGATGCTGGACAATACCTGGCCTATTGCATCTGTTATGCTTATCAAAAAAAACCCCACAAAAATTTAATTTGAACTGCATTGGAGCCCCATTTCTTGTATCACCAAAAACAAAGCAAACAAATAGCCAGCTAGAAGTTGTTTTGTCTGTTTTCAAAATAAGTTTTGCACAAAATAGTAGATCTACAAGTCAGACCCAAAACAACTGGACCTCTCATTTCCAATGAGCACAAGTTGGTAATTGCTTTTGTGGTCTAAACTGCATATCATATCAGCCACCATGGACACAGAGGGCATGTGCAACAACTGCCAGGCCTCATCAGAGGTACTTGTTGGTTGGTTACTGACAGAATTGGTGCTGAGGTGCTGCATCATGGTGCTCTTGAGCTGCACCCTGTGCAAGAATGTAGATTTATATAGATATATGGAAGTTCAGCTGGTTTGATCTCTGGACTTTGAGGACCTCACTCTTTGCTCTGTAGTTCCAGAAGATCACACTGTCAGCTCTCTTACCATCCCAGCCAGCTCAGCCCACACCCTGGTGGAACTGCACCATCAACTGCAGCAGGCCATAGAAGACAACATAGTGCACATCAGGCTTGTCAATTCCTGACCAACAACAACCACACTTGCCCAAGCAAGTTAGTCATCAAGGTCTAAGGAAAGAGGCAACAGACATTGTTTTGTTTATAAGGATTACTTCACAAATGGATGGTGCAACTTTGCAAACTACAAACCCTTCTATTATTTCTAAAATGTGTTTGAGGGATTCACCCTTCCAGGCCCAGAAATTAGACCAAAAACATGCACCTGTGGCACCATAACCACTAATTACTTGGTGTTCTGACACATGCCCAGTGTTCCCTTGCTTTCATGGATAAGGTGAACTATTTCATTCAATTTGTAGCATTGTGAAAATGCCAAAAATAGATTGCATGCACAACAAATTGGCCACCAAGAACATCACATGAAGCTCATCCCCAACCAGGTCAGGCACAATTGGGGACACAGGTGCAGCTTGCAGACCCACCTGGCCCACCTGCTAGGCAAGCAACAGTCGCCATCCAGCAACCCAAAACCACCAAGAGCCAGGCCAGCTTGGTGCAGAGGAAACAGAACCATGGATGAACAGGAGGAGCAATCCAAGGCCAACAGGCGTCTCCCCAGAACACTCTTGAACACGGAAGGCGCCATGGCGCAGTCGGCACCGCGCTCCCCTAGTAAGGGAGAGATCATGGGTTCGATTCCCATTGGCGCCAACCTTCTCTTTTTGTGCCCTCCTTCGTCCGTCACCCCGCCCTTCTTATCCTCCCAGTGCCCAACCTTCGCTCGATCGGCTGGCTGGATCGTGGCGGCGGTGTCTGTCTCCTCTCTCACGAAAGGCAATAAGATCGGAGATCGGAGAAGCAAGACCAACCCTCGTTGATTCACTGAGGACACAATCGGTGGAGAAGGTCGAAAAGCGCCTTGATGCGCTCTGTGGCGCCGGCGGCAGAGGGCAGCGTGAGGCGAGCATCACCGGCGGGCGCGAGCATCTGTTGCGCGTGCAGCCACTCCTCGACCAGCCACAGGAAGTGCACAGCTTGTCGTTCGTGCTCGGGTCCCGCCGGAGCGTCCACAACGGCCTGCCACAGCGACCGCAAACGCTCCTCCATCGCCTTGACAGCGTCGCCCAGGCGTGATCGTACCGACGGGTCGTCCAGAAACGAGAGCCGTTGTGACGACGATGAAGATGAAGCGGACGGCGTTGTGGCGGTGGTGGACGTGGACGTCGGCTGGTCGCTGTGATCGATCCAGAACTCGCCGGGGATGTTCTTCGCAAAGTAGGAGTAGAGTACGTCCATGAGCGGGGCAAAGTAGAAGAGTCGCATCTCCAGGTAGTTGCCGGCGCCCGAGCGCTGCGTCGAGGGGGTGGAGTCGGCTCGTTGCGCGCAGTGCAGGTGGACCTCGCCTCCTCCGGGGGCTTGGCTACAGGTGATGGCGAAGCGGGAGAAGCACGAAGTCTCGCCGTTTCGTTCAATCGCAAGCGACGAGTCCACCAGCCGCCGCCCGACCTTGCCCCATTGCTTCGTTGGGGCACACGCGACCAAAGGCTATAGTGAGTACCACCAGACCCAACGAGAAAAGAGCTGCCCGCAAGGAAGAAGAAGGAGAAGAAGCAAAGCGAAAGGCGTACCTGCAGGAGGATGGTCTCAGGCAGCTCGCAAAACTCAAGACCTTCGAGGTATTCCGCGAACTCATCAGCGTGCAGCCAATGCACCTCGGAGCCTCTGAGCCGTGAGTGAGTGAGTGAGTGAGTGAGTGAGTGAGTGAGTGAGTGTACAAGCACACAGGGCTAGCGGTGTGCGTACGGGTCTTCGTAAAAGCTGGGCTGCTTGTCTAGGAACTCGCTCTTCCAGCACTGGAGAATGTGCGTGAACGTGAAGACCTCGGCCTCCCGCTTCGAGTGCTGCATCCCCTGCTGGAACAGCCGCACCAGCGTGCCCACGATCTTGTCGACATTCAGCGGCAGCTCGTTCGTGTCGCCACCACTGCGCGCAGTGTTATCGTCGCCAGTCGCCTCCTGCAGGTGCTCTGACTTGAACACCTCGACGACGTCGAGTCGCCACTTGTGCGTTCGCTTGAGGTGGTCCAGCAGCAGCTTGATCTGCTGCTCGGGCGCGCCCTCGGTCGGGAGGGCCAGAGGGAGCAGGCCCGCGGCCCTGTCCGCCGCCTCGACGACGGGCATGACCGACCGCATGTCGAGTGTGCAGCCCGACGGCACGCGCGAAAGGTAGAAGAGGATCTGGTGCGACGCCGGGAGGACCGTGGAGAGCCAGCTCAGCCGCTCCGTCAGCTTGCCCAGGCTGGCATGGTTGATCGCGTACGTGCCAGAGTACTCTGTAGCGCTGGGCTGTGCGCGCGTTGGGACTGAGCGTCAGTGGACTCGAGTCAGAGCATAGAGGCTGCATTGCAGTGCTGCGAGAAAGGGTCCACCTCGAATAGGGTGGCGGCGTTGATGAAGTAGATTGTCTTTCGCGCTTGGGTGAGGAGCGCCGCGGACCGGTCGAGAATGTCTCGCATTTCTCGCGATGTGTCGGCGCCCTGCGCATGCGCGTGAGCTCCAGCGCCTGCTTGTCATTCGCGTGGCTATGGGTACGCACCTCTTGGTCGGCGCTCATCAAGGAGTCGAGGTGATCTCCGCCGATCTCGATGAACTGTACCAGCACGTACCTGTTCATCGTACATACATCGAGGCGAGTGAGTTGGTGGCATGACAGTGGACCCAACACAGACGTGCAGGCCATCACACCCACCTGGTATCGGGCGGGAACTCTTCGTTGGGCAGCCCGAACTCGTCGAGGAAGAAGACGAAGCTGTCCAACGTGAGGAGGACCGTGCCCCGCGCAATGTCCGTGTCCAGGAAGGGCAGCTCGTCCCTAAAAGAGAGGCCAACGGCGGTGAGCGCCTCCCTCTTCACTGTGCATGCCTGGCATTGGTGCCGTGTGGATGCAGCGAGAGAGAGAGAAGAGAGAGGTACCGAGGTGGACTGGTGTCATCGGTCAGGAAACGCGTGTTGATGAAGGAAGACGCCAGGATGGGAAGGTAGGAGGTCAGCTCCAGGAAGTTGAGGTCCTGCGCAAAGCAGAACGCGTGCAGGAACGTCGACCTGGTGCCCAAGTGTGAAAGATCGGGTGAGCCTGGGCGCCCTTTACACACACACACACACACACCACACTTTCTTTCTCACTGTCTCAGGCAAGAGGGACGAGGTCGTACTTGCCAGCGTTCTGGTCGCCCAGCAGGAGGAACGTGTAGACCTGCGTGCCGGATGCCACCACGGAAGCGAACGGGCTGTCCAGTTCCACGATCTGCCAGCCAGTACGCACGTACCAGCAACTCAGCTGTGCTGTGCACTACAGCTGGCAGCAAAAAAGCTCATGATGCTGGTGAGGTGGAGTGGCACCTCTTCATGGTGCAGGTCCGGCTGCCTGTAGGCGGCGCGCTGCACGTAACCTGCAGTCCCCGCAGTGGCCGCCCAGTGAGTGGGACGCTGGGCGTATTGGGGGGGGGAAGCTCTGCTCCTTGTAAATCTGTTGGGCGAGCGGTGCAGTACCGTAGGGGTGCTTGGAGATTGGCAAGCAGTCGGCCTTGCGCGGCTGCCGGAAGAAGTGCCCAGCCTCACACGCCTCCTCACCCTCCATCTTTGCCACTACTTTGCGCAAGACCCTTCCCGATCCACAGAAGAGGAGTGACGTGGCGAACCACCTTAAGGTCTCTCGAGTTCTGTTCTGCCTCTTCGGCGAACACTTTTGGCTGAAGCGCAGGCAAACATAAAGTCGATCAACTGCGGTCACAATCTCAGTATTTCGATTTCAACCTAGACAATCAAGATGGAAGCTGGATCGGAATGGGTGGACATGAACGCGGATTCGGAGGAGGAAGTGGAATGGGATGAGCAGGAGGACCTTCTTGAAAGATCGGAGGTCAACGGCGATCTGTTTGCCGACACAACGACGTCATCTTCTGCCGCGCCCCCGCCGCCCCCTCCTCAGCAACAGAGGAGCCTCTTCTCCAAGGTACCCCACCGTTCAACATGCCCTTCGCCTGCAATCAATCAAAATCACATCACGTTCTAATAATCCATACAGATGAGGAAGAGGAAAGTACGCAAGGCAAACACGAACGTTATCTCGGTCAAGCTCGGCACCCTGACCCAGGACGTCCCCGTCGCCACCGGTACGCCACCAAAGCTTCTTCTTCTTCTTCTACAATGGCCGA